AAAAAATGTTGTCGTGGAGGATCGTGAGGAATGTGTAACTCTGAAACTATCTAAAAATGTACTGAAAGATCGCGAGAAACGTGTAAATCTGAATATAGCAGGATCCAACTTGACAGGCAGGATCGGGGTGACCCGGGTGTTGATGTCTTTATGGCGTGGCCCCCCCCCCTGCAAATGTTATTCACGTGACCGTCCGTAATAGAGGGTTTGAATAGTGTTCTTTGTCAAATATAACACATAACTTTATAAAACACTCACTAGACTTCTGTAATATTTATCTTTAATTGTAAACAATGTTACAAGGCACAAATTACACAAAAAAAAAACTATAGATGAAGTAAAACATCTAAATTTCAGAAGCAAGTATCTTTTGATCTGATATTTTTACGTCGTGGAGAATAGATGAGATTTGTCTCCGGAACATCACATCGAACAGTGACCTTTCTAACCTTTTGTATGAACTTTAACCTGCTCTCTATGGTATGACTTTCTTACAATGTGGGTTTTGGTAAACCGTTTCTTTCGCTTGTTTACCGAAAATGTGTTTGTAACAAAGCTAAGAGATAAGAAGAACAAGCATGGTTTCTGTTTCGCTATAAGTAATTAGCAAGACTGGAATTGAGCTTGAACCGGTGTTGTTTGTCGTTAGAGAGCCAAGTTTCTGAATGGTCAAATCTTTCAGTATTGAATCTTGACCCGTAACAACCCTAATGTTCTTAGTTTCTGAATGTTCAGTAAGTGCTTAGAAACTTCCAAGGCTGCACCGGACACTTGAGTCTACATCAACTTGTGAAGAAATAAAAACAGTCCAATCACACAGTTGAGCGATCGGGATGGTCTCATGACATTACCATGAACTGAAAAAAAAAAGAACAATAATTAATCCAGTATTTAAAAATATTGTATACAAGAATTGGAACCAGTATCGATATTTTGACAGCACTTTATACTTGTGCAAGTGGAAGAATATTCCATTAACACGATTTGAAACATTAATACAATCGTCTTTGTCTGGAAACTCTAAACTCCCACTGAAATCTCTCTACATTCATTAGACACCAGTGGCTTGTGCAGTACGTTGAAACTTACATTACTGTTAAACTCCCACTGAAATCTCTCTACATTCACTAGACACCAGTGGCTTGTGCAGTACGTTGAAACTTACATTACTGTTAAACTCCCACTGAAATCTCTCTACATTCACTAGACACCAGTGGCTTGTGCAGTACGTTGAAACTTACATTACTGTTAAACTCCCACTGAAATCTCTCTACATTCATTAGACACCAGTGGCTTGTGCAATACGTTGAAACTTACATTACTGTTAAACTCCCACTGAAATCTCTCTACATTCACTAGACACCAGTGGCTTGTGCAGTACGTTGAAACTTACATTACTGTTAAACTCCCACTGAAATCTCTCTACATTCACTAGACACCAGTGGCTTGTGCAATACGTTGAAACTTACATTACTGTTAAACTCCCACTGAAATCTCTCTACATTCACTTAGACACCAGTGGCTTGTGCAATACGTTGAAACTTACATTACTGTATTTTAGTAACAGTTAATTTTAGTTAGCATTTCCCTTTTCATGAAACTTAGAATCCAGTTGTTTGATGACCTCCCCCTCCCTCTCTTTGGCTCAGCGTCTAGTCTAAGGGCTTATAATGCTAAAAACCGGGCTTCGATACCCAAATTGAGTACAGCACTGATAACCCATTGTGTGCTTAAAACAAATAAAAGCTTTATGCGCTGTTGTTTGCTCTTTTTTTTTTTTCGAAAGTTACAACGCTAGAAACCGGGTTTCGAAAGCTATGGTGGGCAGAGGACAGATAGCCGATTGTGTAGCTTTGTGCTTAACTTCAAACAAATATTCTCTGTAAGGAACATAAGATGACGGAGATTAATTGGTGACATTAAGACAGGAATTTTCGCTCCTTAAAACTTGGAATAATTAATTATGCCAGTTTTATTAACGTGTGCTAATAATTTTAATTTACATAGAGACGACAGTTCCTCAACTACGTCACGTCCGACCCCTTTTCTAGAGAGACACCTATATTCTTCACGGCTGAACGAAGCTCTCTTCTTTTCGAAAATACTTTGGTCATCGAACAGGTCAGTAAAGTTCAAAAATGTTGTCGTTGTCAGTTTTTTCTTGTTTATGTCCAGAACTTATTATTTTAAGCGTTAATTTCCTTCAAAGAAATTTAATCAAACTGTAACTCAGGGTGGGCAGTGGGTGGGGGTTCTGTGTTATAGTTTTTGGATTCAGGAGTTGACGAGCCGGGTTCGAATCCTTGTGATAAGGCAAACTATTTCCCATCTTGATTGCGTTATAAGCATTACAGTCAGTACTTTAGCGTGTATGATGTATAGTGGTATGTTGCTGATTGGCTGTCTTTTCTTTGATTACTAGCCCGAAATGAGGGGGCAGACACAGACAGCTTTAGTAACTGTACCATAAATGCAAATACATTAATTAAATCAATTATTTCTGAAACCTTTGTTAATTTAACAGGAATTTGCGTGAAAGGGTAAAAAATATATTTCAACACGAGTTGTACATACTTAACCCTAATCTGTAATAGTTAAAAAATTGTATGAAATTCTTTATCATTTTCCCAATGGTTTATTTTCATTCGCTCTAATCTACAATTTTTGTTATCTAAAGTTTAATGCCAAAGGCTAACGTGCGTGATATTTACAATACCCGTACGCTAAACGGTAACATTTACTGAAAGGAAATCTACTTTTTCATATACTTCTCTCCAAATATAAACACAAAAATTACTAGAGCTTAAACCTTCTCTGTAAAAGGCGTACATTTCAGTTGAAAATGTAAAGACCCACCTGAACTAGTACTTTCAGAGACATGAAGACCGGAACTTTATATAAAGACCTCACCTGAACTAGTACTTTCAGAGACATGAAGACCGGAACTGTATATAAAGACTCACCTGAACTAGTACTTTCAGAGACATGAAGACCGGAACTTTATATAAAGACTCACCTGAACTAGTACATTCAGAGACATGAAGACCGGAACTGTATATAAAGACCTACCTAAACTAGTACTTTCAGAGACATGAAGACCGGAAGTATAGATAAAACCCACCTGAACTAGTACTTTCAGAGACATGAAGACCGGAACTTTATATAAAGACCCAACTGAACAAGTACTTTCAGAGACATGAAGACCGGTAGTATAGATAAAAACTCACCTGAACTAGTACTTTCAGAGACATGAAGACCGGAACTCTGCTGTTTCCCTCCTATCACTGTTTCCTCACTCCTTTCATATATCACCTTAAATAACATACTTGTACATTTCAGTCTCATTTCACCTTTCTGGAACTGGTTAGCGCGGACATTAAACTTGAGACCCAGAACAGTGGAGGACAAGTTAGAATTACGACGTGGCGGGTACTGCATTAAATAATCCGGATCAGCCTAGAGAAAGACGATACAACGTGGTTGAAAAAAATCAAAGTATGCCTATAACTAACTGTAACAAGATAATCGGACTGAGAGGAGTCTATGAGAATCTAATGAAAAACTGAATATAATATTGATTGTTAGAATTTATGTAGAAACAAGTCGTTGTGTTATGCAGACAATCGTTAAAATAACAAATATGATCTATTTCCATACCGAGAATGAATATAAGCTAACCAAGAAATTACTTTTAGATTTAATTATCAATAAACCTGAACGTTTTTATTTCTATTAAACGATTTTACTTCTAAATGAACCGAAAAATTGCTCACGTGTAATGAGTTATATCGTTTATCAACATGCAGACCTAATACGAAAGGTACTTTCCAAATCTATAAAGTCCCTCGTATTTAGTATCATGTTCTCATTACCACGTATTGTGCGTTACTGATCTCTTATCCGTAATTTGTTGAAAATATTTCACGTGTGGTCCTGTTTTATGATTGGACTAAAATAATTAAATCAAAATGAAGCTCGTGAACCAACCGACGTTATATTTCGAGTTGTACGTACCTCAACGTCGTTAATCTGCCATAACAACTTGGCTATTTGGTTTGAAAAGGCCGATGTACAGTTAGCTTCCATCATATCTCCAACCTCGTAACGACTGTGCTGTTTAACACCAATGTTTGGTCCATTGGGAGCTAAAGATAAAGCGGTGCGTAAAGAATTAAGCTACTGATCAGACTAAAGATACTTTTCAACTAAAGTAATGAAAGAAGTTATAGTCACCAGATCAACAGACTCTTTTGTGTGTGTGGAAAATGAAGTAACAGAAAATCTATTTCGTTAAAATAAAGTAAACCTGAAAATGAACTTAAAACTTGTAATAAACATAAACATAAAAACATAAACATAAAATTACTCTATCTTCATTATAGCAGCTACTATAAATAAAACACTCCTCAGAATACTTTCTATCACGAAGTGTTTTTATTTTGTGGTGAAACGAATCTGTCTGTCCACGATTGTATTAAGTTACTTATAATAATTTATTTTTAATGAGTAAAAAACATTCCTGCTAATACCTATAATAATTTAGTGAGTAAATAGTTTCTTCTAATACCTATAATAATTTAGTGAGTAAATAGTTTCTTCTAATACCTATAATAATTTAGTTAGTAA